CAGATAACAGTGATAGAGCAGATTAACATTCAAATGTGGAAACATCATAGGTTTGAAGCACCAGTCCAACAACCAGTCCCTCTACCTTACATGCCATATTGACTGTTGCAGTTGTGGCATGTTTCTTGATGCCTAATCAATCAAGAGCACATGCCGAAGAGGACAAATATAGACTACTAAAATTCTTATTTTGTGGATCTGCCATTCTGCATCATGCATATTTTTATGATACCTCTTCAAGTCTTTTGGGGTGAGGATGAAGGCATATTACAGACATGGAAGATGGGATATGCATGCACATTGATCATGTAAATATGGGTGCATGCTTCCTTTCACCACCAGTTCAAAGCTGATCAATTAACTTCATTGAATGCAAGACAGATCTCCATGCATGATGCTGCGACGAAGAACAAAGATGTCAAGATCCCAAGCTAAATGTCTATATACTAAGATGTGCACAGTAATCTTTTGCTCACATAGAAAATGTCCTCATCTATTAAGTTCAATGAAGGGAGCCCAAATGGATGAGTGGAGATTGGTCCCTTCTACTGAAGCAAATGAAACACGGCAATTATTCCCAATGGGAAAGCGCTGCACACATATAAGAGCACTTGTGCTAAGAACAGGTAGCTTGTTTGGGGCAATGATGCCTAGGGGTCCCTGGATGAGTGGATTAATCCTCATGCACCAGGATGGGATATTTTAGCCCTCCAAAGGCATGTTTTGTTGCACAATCAACACAAAAGTACACCTAATTCTCCAGCATGGTCACATGTTCAGTTGTAAACAATATCCTCACATTTCAGCCATGTGCCACATGCATGCTTTTTTTTTTTTTGGAAAAAAAAACAAGAAAGAAAGCCAGGAGAAAAATATTCCCAACTATCTACTCTTTTTATCCCAACCAGTACAATTTGGGGGGGGGGGGGGGGGGCAGGGAAGAGAAGGGAAATGTTCACATTTTATGGCAAACCATGATGCAGTAAAGCAGAAATGATATGTTCTAGTTGTGAATAGGTTGACTTCATTCAAGGGAAATCAATTTTTTCCAAGAGAGATGCAACATTGGTGTTCTTATTCACTAACCCTAACCTTAACCCTAACCTTGTCCTCATGTTAACCTTTAATACATTGGAATTCTGAGGTTTTCTTTTAAAAATCCTGGTGGATGAGAATTAATATTATTTTGATGAGCAGGACATTGAAGCCTTGCATTGTGTCATGTGATATTTCCACTGCTATTTATCACTTGAATCTGTTCATCTGTTCCATTCCATTTGGGATACTATGTCTATCCTAGCAGAGTTTAATTCATTTGAAAACTAATGTTGCATGAGTGTTCTGTGCCATTCCATGGTCTATGATACTCAAGCATTTAAGTGACTGTTGAATAGCCTCTCTTGCACTCTGGAGTAGAGTTGCTTTGGGCAAACACAATGGTAGTCCTAGAATTGATTTCCAGAGAAAAGAGAAGCTAAGAGGTTTTGTGCTCTTTTCTGTTTTGCCTAACAATTGATCAAATCCAGTTTTTCAGCCAAAAAAAGTACATCGCAAAATATGTGCTTTGCTCTCAGGTGTGTGACGTCTGTAAAAAAACTAAGAGTATTGATACTTTTTTTGAACAGAATATGATTTACATTGGGTGATCTTGGACTATTGATTTTGAAGCAGAATCCCCTGATGAAAGCTATGGCTGAAAATAGTCAATGAGGTTAAGAAATATCAATGACGAATTCCACATGAAAATCAATCACTATCATATGACCCTTTTCTTGGTCAATACCTTTCTGAATTTCTATTTCTAATGTGTGAATTATTTGATTTACTATTGGAATCTCTCTCCCCCATCCCTTTCATGTCCATCACAATCTTGGGTGGATTTCTACTGAAGTCACTGAGGTGGTTCCTGATTTTTAAAAATGCATATACTGCAGGTTGTTCCATTAAATAATGGGTTGATCATATGAAGAGTGACTATCTACTCCATGGTCAGTGGTGAGTAGGGACATTTTTTTGTTTTCTTGACTCTTCTGCTATTACAGGTTGTGCCTTTTAAAAAGTCCCTTCACAATATTATTTATTTATTTATTAATTATTGAAAACATTTATATTCCACCCTTCTCTCCCGGAAGGGGACTCAGGGCGGAGCACAGCATAAACACGGCAAACATTCAATGCTGGGACACAGATTCAATAGCTTCAGTAGGACCAAAATACACATGCCACTTTTAGGGCTAGCATATCTTTTTGTCCTTTCATAAATGACTGGGGAATCAGTGTCAATCAACTGAAGGAGATTTGGAACTATAGATCCTAGGCCTCCTCTTTTCCACCTCTGACATGCTTCCTTTCCTCTTCTGCTGTTGAAAAAATCATGGCAGAGTAGTAATGGTGGACATTTTCCACCATTGCCTCCAGCAATGGGCCACCTTCTCCATCTTCAGGAGTAGTGATGCCATGGAGCCCAGGATCATGGATCTGATGTGACAGGGATGTTTTGATTAGCAGGAACAAGACATCACCTGCCACATGATTGGACTTCCCTGTTTCCTCTGATCTTTGCTGCAGTCTTCATCATAGCTGAATGGGAAATGGACTTTCCTAGCAAAAATATGTTCTTGTGAACAAGCCTGTTGTCATACAAATGGTTTGTGGATGACTTGGCCATGAATAGATAAATCAGTTCCATTAGAGGATCTGCTCCTGGAGGAAGTGGAAAACACAATTTCTGGCTTGTTAATATGGATCCTGGATCAGCTACCTGCATTTCTGCTTTCTCTTTGTAGAAGACTTTAAAATTTACCACCACTCTGCTGTTAGAGATGAAACTTGGATTGAAAAGGTGAAGACCATCCAATGACTTATTGGGCACAATTCATGGGATTTTCCCCTAACCATAATAGCAATCAGCCCTCCAGATGTTGCTAAATGCAACTTCCAGCATTCTTCTTCATTGGGTAGATTGGCTTGTGCTGTTTTTTAGCAGCACAAAGAGAAAATCCTGAAGGGGCACATTAGTCTCAACTCATCTTAAATCAGCTTTGTGATGATAACTGCAAAACAATCACATAGAAGCCTGGCAAAGGAAATATATCTCTCCTCCAGAAAGAACAATGAACTTTGGATATCATAAACTTGATTTTTTTCATTGTTTCTATTAATCCAATGATATGTTTACAATTAAAGGCTCTCCAAGCCTTCAAATATATTCAAATATAATAAACTGGCCTTTGTTTAAATTCTTAATTTAGGAGTTCGTTTTTGGAGACAAACTCCTGGATCGTTACTTTTTCTGTTTTTAAAAATACAACTGAAGTTGATAACTCCAAGAGAAAAAAATAAGCCCACTTTAAGACATTATTACCATCCTATCTTCACAACTGCAAGTAACTAGATTTCCATGTCATTTTGCCTATCTGCTTCCACCAAAGGTACAAATGTATATCCAATATCTATCAAACTCTGCCTGACATCCCATTGATCTCTTACTACCAGTCCCCAAAGCAGCATAGAATATTCATTGATCTCAATGATATTACTAGTTCAATATATTCATACTTGGGTCTGAAGTGGAATTTGATGCTAGCTATTTGTGTAGAGATGGAGAGATGAAAAAAATGTGGCTATTACAAACACAATTGTCCACCTAAAACAAATGAGTTAATATCAATTGAGCTTCCAAACCATACATTCCTAATACCAAAGCTTGAAGTTAAAACATAACAAAATGACTGAAATACCAAAGGAATAGCTTTGATCAATTAAGTGTTCTAGTGATACAAGATCATTCATGACAATGGGACATTTTTCAGAGAAGGACCTTAAACGAAGGCACTGGAATCCTGTTGGAGCCTTACATCCTTGTTGATAGACTTACATCTGTGTGAATTAAAATTGTGCAGTTGATTAACATTTTTATCCAGTAGAGGGCTGTTGTTACAATACTACAAAGCAGAGACAGCAAAGTGTGCAATGCACATTAGTGCACAATACACATGCATAATGTTTTACACTGCTTTTTAGATATTTTGCTAGTTTAATCACTTTTTAACTTTTATATTTTGTGGATTTAAACTGTTTTTTTTAAAAAAATCTATCACAAACTGCCTAGGGTCTGAAATTGGCAAAAGGCAAGAAAATGATGATGATTATGTTGAGGTTGATGATATCACTTCCACCCCTCAGTGGGTTTGCTGCCAATATTGCTGGGTGATGGGAAGAGATCTTTCCCCCTTCCAGTGATCCCCACTGAGATGGCTGCGGTTTGCCAGTAATCTCAGGGAGCAATCTCAGCCAGGATTAGGAGGGAAAGGCAAGTCTAACCTACTGACAGCATGAAAATAGGACCTTGGCTATGGAATCAAGGAAGATTGGGAGTGGCTTCAACCTATTCCATGCACACACCACCAATCCTGACCAATTGTGCTGATCTACTGGCTGTGGGCTGCATGTACACCTTCAGATAACACTGGATTGTACCTCCTATAAGTTTTAGCCAGCATAACCAAAGGTGAAGGATGATAGAAGTTGTGGTGTAGTAGCTTAGGCTCAATGGGGAGATACTGTCTTTTCTTTGTCCAGTGCACTCAATTGTGATTGATATGGGTCTGGCCACTTAACAGTACCAAGCCCGGGGCAAACAGATATCACAGATGGAAAAAAATGGTCTGAATTTCTTAATTGTTGAACAGTGAATTAACACTTTAAGTATACTCTACTGATTCAATGGGTCTACTTTTGGGGGATTAACAGTAGGATTCAAGCCAATAGCTCTGAAGCTTGGTGTGGCCACCACTGCTCTATATACAGAGTTGTCCACGGATGAATGGTAGCTATTAGAGCTTGACCATGATATTTGGGGGATTGTGGGGTTTGCAGTCCAAATATGACTTCCCCATTTGTCAGATAAGTATTTGCAAGATATTTCCAACACCTTGTTGAGGTGTGCAGGGAGGTGAAATGGCCCAAATGCATCTTGTGGATACCTCATGCTCCATTTCTTCCATCAAGGTCAGCATGCGCAGAAAATACCTTTCAGTCTCCATTGAGTTTGACTTGGGAAGAATTCAATCGCCACTTCCTTCGAAGGATACACCTAATACGGGTGGCAAGCCATCCTTTTATGGAACATCAGGATCTGTTTCCAAACTGACCATGAAAGAACAACTCAATAGCAGCAGCACAAAATAGCCGAGATAGCAAACAAGTCCAAATAAGCAAGCACAGGAATTCTAACAGTGGGTATTTTGAGATGTCTGGCAAAAAGTGAAATCTCAATGACTATGAAAATACTTTCAGGAGAACATTCTTGGCAGCAGACCTAGAAATGGAAAAAAAACTCTGTCCTAAACAGTTTTTACTTTCTTCCTGTATGAAAAACAGAACTGCTTCTGCAGACCTAAATATGCTTCAGTTGCTTTCCTACGCCTAGGAAAGTGAGCAATAAAAGGGTGGTCTCGATGCACCTCTGAATTAAAAGAATCCCCTTTCTTAACACTTTTTTTCCCTTGTAGATCTCTGTTTTGAAAAACAGTGAATTCATTTTGGGCACTTTTTTGAAAAAACAGAAAAATAGCAACAACAATCATTTGGCACTTCATAAGTTCAATTCTTAGGCACAGTGGGACAGAGTCAGCTTTGCTAGACCTTCGCTATGCATTCGAAACAGCTGTTGGAATTCGGCAGGGAGCTGATGGGACTCTTGCCATTTGGTGGTAAACTTTGTTCCTTTCTTGTCAAAGTAATGATATGGAAGGTCTTCTCGGTTGTTTGGATTAAACCCAAAGGGCCAGAACCCATACAGATGGATTTCATCACAAATTGCCGAGGCTAAGGTATACATGAGGATCCCTGTGCTGAGCCGCTTGGGGGCCAGGTGCTTGTTCCTCCAATATCTGTGAAGGAATAACAATACAGGATGTGGGAAATAGACCATATAGTCACAGAAACATTTTGAGAATGAAATAATAATAATAATAATAATAATAATAATAATAAGAAGAAGAAGAAGAAGAAGAAGAAGAAGAAGAAGAACTCCTGTGCATCTCAATCCCTGGTGTATTTTTTAGAGTACATCTACATCATACACAGTACATCTATACTGTAGAATGTAGTTTGATACCTACTTTAATTGCCATGATTCAATGCTATGGGCTCTTAGGATTTGTAATTTGGTGAGGCACCAGCACTCTTTGGCAGAGGAGGTTAATTACCTTGTAAAACCTCCATTCTCATGACTCTTTAGCATTGAGCCACAGCAGCTAAACTGGAGCCAAAGTGCATTAATTCTACAGTGTAGCTCAGGCATGGGCAAACTTCATCCCTCTAGATGTTTTGGACTTCAACTACCAAAATTTTTAACAGCTTACAAGCTGTTGGGTATTGTGGGAGTTGAAGTCCAAAACACCTTGAGGGCTGAAGTTTGCCCATGCCTAGAGTAGACACACCCTTAGTTTATGGGGTGATCAGAGTACCTGCCCAAGCAGTATGATCCCTGGGTGCTCAGAAGACTACACCAAGGAAGGAAGTAATGGCACCAACTGTGCCCCAAATGCTACAAGTGCCAGGGTTTGGGTGGCAACGTCCGGACAGAAAGCTCTTCCTCTTCAACAATGTCAGGCATGTAAACTTTACTACTCTCTCATTCACTGAGCAACATCAGAACAAAACAAGAATGGAAATGAACTTTAATACAAATTCTAAATTTGTACTTTGCATTGTACTCTACTTGTGACACACTTATTACCAGGACTGATCATTTCTGAACAATGAAAAAATCAGTTTAGGCTAAACACTACTGATAAGAGCAGCACAATAGTGGAAGAAGTTGTCTGGGGAAATGGCAGAATCCCTTTCTTTAATGGTCTTCAGTCCATGGCAGTTTAAATACAGAATATCCTGGTTCTCTAGATACTTGTGATAGCCTTAGCGAGAGGAGCTTCTTGCCCAAACCACATTCTGCTAGCCTTGTGTCCCCTGTTCCTCAAATTTCCTTCCCTTTGAAAAAGTCCCTTCTTCACACCTTTGTAGAACAGCAATGATTCAATTGCTATTGATGGAGAGGGTCCCAAATCCAAATGCTAGGTTTTAAAGGTAAAACCCACTCTCTTTTAAAAAACTTGGAGGGTTATTGGTAGTCAAGAATACTGAATTGAATGTTCTGACTTGACAACATGCTGATTTTCCTTCTTCATTGACTTTTCAATACTTCAGGCGCCCCCCTTCCCCAGGCATTTTGCCTTCAGCTTTACCTAGCTTCAGTATTGCTTCTCCTGATCTTTTGTCCAGTTGCTCTTTGTTCTCAGCACCTTGATCTATTTTCATAGCTTGTGGTTCTAGTTTTCCATTGATTCTCTCTCTCTCCTTACACTAGCTCTCATTCTGTTTCCCCGAACTACTCATGTTATGGATCTTGTTTATTTGCCAAGAGATTTAAATCTACAAGGTCTTTTGTAAGGCTGAAACACTAAAATCATGTTTTAGGTTCTTATTGCACTAGACCGTTACCGTGTTATATTCCATTTTAACAACATCTGGTGGAATTCTGGGGTTTATAGTTTAATAAAACCCAAGAGATCTCTGCCTGAAAATACAAAATGTTTCTCCCTAAACCACAAATCTCAGGATTTCATAGGAGTTCAAGTGTGATATAACGCTATACTCATGTAGTGTGATAGGGCCCTCAGTATGATTTTAAGAAAATATAAATTATACAGATTTCTGTTAATTGTTTTGGCTAAGCCAGTCTGAGATATTTTTAAGAGAAAGGAAACAAAAATATTAAAAATACAAAAATACATTGATAAATCCAACAATCTCTCTTTTCTTCTAAAATTGTTATTATTTTGGACATTTCCCCTTCTCAGGGTCATTTCATACTTCTCTGATTTCACTTTAACTGCCATAGCAACATATATTGTGATCTAATCTTAATTGAGTAGTACTTTGAATATTCAACCAGAGAGCTCTAGTGCCTCACCAAAATACAAATCCCAGGATTCCATAAGACATAACCATGGCAGTAAATAGTGCAATAATTGTGTAGTTTGAAAGGGACTTTCTACTACAAACACTACAAGCAAGCAATGCCATCCAGTTAAATTGAATGCAAGAAAAAGATGCACCTGTTAACATGTTGCATGATATTTCCAGGCCAAGCCAACTGGACTTTTAATTGCGCTCGATGCTCAATAAAGAAGTCAACCAATGTTCTTGTAATGGTTGCCGATGTGTGGAAGAAGAAGGCCGGGATCCAAAGGATGGCTCCATCAAGCTTCTTCAAGCTTAGAAAAAAGTTATTGCGATCTTGAATGGTCAAAAGGTTGTTGTAATACTTCTCCAGAATGCTAGGATTGAACGTTGTGATGTTGGTTTTCCTCCCAACATCTTTGTGGAATGCCTCTGTTGGGGCAAAATTACAACGGAAAACAAAATCGTATTTATCTATTTCCTGCCCGCACTGACTGCCGACCAGGATTCCACTGTTTCCGACAACGGCGCAAATGTTATAGTGCTTGTTCTGGATTGGCGAGACATCTGGGAGCAACATTCGGAAACTATTACTAATGGAGAAAACATACTTATGGCTGGAATAGTCATAATGCATCAGCTGTCCAATCCGAACCATATTCTTTGTCAAAGAAAAGTTTTTGATCACGTCAACATGCTGAAGTATTTCTCGCCTAAAAATAAAGCAGATATGTTTGATTAAAATGATACCTCTTACTTGTACAGAATTGCTGGCTTTCATTTAGGAAGATTTGAAGCAGGGAACTAATTTCCCCAAATGAAGCATGACACTTCAAGCCTGTCTACAAGCCAACTCCCTTTGAGGTTGACAGAACTATGAAGTCACGGTTAAAATATTGGACAAAATATTGGACTGTGTGACTTGGGTAATCCACGTTCCAGACTTCACTGAGTTATCAAACTTAAAGTCCAATCATACACAATATTGCAATATTGTTGTAAGGGTAAAGAATGGAGAAGGGAAGCTACTCATACTCCCACCTCCATCACAGGCGTGATTGGTGGGGAAGAGGGAGAGGGCTTTCTCGGTGGTGGCCCCTCTACTCTGGAACTCACTCCCCAAGGACATCAGGCATGCCCCAACCCTGGCAGTCTGAAAACGTGGTTGTTCCAGTGTGCCTTCCTAGAATAAGGAAACTCCCAGCAATATGTCCTCGAAATGCACTTTACTATTGATCTAGGAATGTCTGCAGACCTCATTCCTCTCTGAAAACTCTATCCTAGTTCATATTTCATCTGTTCATGCTCAGCATTATTTTTAAATAGGTTTTAAATGTCGTTGTGTTACTGCTATTGTTTATTTTTTGTTATGAGTTTTATTTTATTGTCTATATTAATTGTTGTTATTGCTTTTATCATTGATGTATTGTGGGCTCAGCCTCATGTAAGCCGCACTGAGTCCCTCGGGAGATGGTAGCGGGGTATAAATAAAGATTATTATTATTATTATTATTATTATTATTATTATTATTATTATTACATTCTACTTTGAGCTCATAGAATAAAAGGTGAGCTATAAAAGTAAGAAACTGTAGCAATAAAGCAAGAGACCAAGAAAACAAGCAAGAAAAAATAAATCAACACAGTACTTTTAAACATGTGTTTCAACTTTATTCTGTTTTCTCCTTATGCTTGGTGTGATAGTAATATTTTGCTGACCAGCTTCTATGAATACCATATTTGTATAGCTGGGTATGCACATGAATTCCAATGAGCATGTGCTATAAACTATGCAGTCAAAGCTTCCATGTTCCCAAAGCGGTATCTGCCATATACTTTACAGTACAGTAAGGACAGCCCTCCAAAATAACAGCAGACTCTATATCTGAAGCTTTACTTATCTGTACTTGTTTTGTTTGACAAATACATCTTTTCCTTTTTTGAGGATCCTAATGACTCCATTTGATTCTTTCAAACTCATCTTTCTAAGGTGGGCACATTAGCTATTGCTGGCTCAAAAAGACTCAAACAGATCTTCCTTTCCAACACGAACCCATCTGTATCAAACACTCCTCACCATAGAAATTGCCCACCTAAACTTTCAGAGAAAGAAATATCTTTTCTCTCCAACATTTTGGTGTATGCTGAAATTTGGTGATTTGGTGGGTATGTTGAAATTTGACAGTGACAAGGATGGGTACAGTTAACACCTGGTTGTGATCTAAATCCCTTCCAGTGCTTTTAACCCTGGGAAAAAACCCTCTCACTGGTTCTCTCGTTGTCTCCAATCCAACGGCATCCTTATCCCTAATATATAACTCGCTTAATCAAGCAAGTGCATTAAGCTAAGCAGTATATAATATCCTTAACAATATGAGTATGACTTAACTTATAAACCTATTAACTATACTAAAGAACATAAACTATTGATTGTACATTACTTACTTGCCATATGGCGATCCACTTAAAACATCGGACCACATCTAACATCCAGATAACTAAAGCATAACATAGTGCCGCTGAATAAGACCCAGCACTGGGTTATTTATTCAGTAACAATATTCCAAGAAACCATTTATCTGCCAAAGAATGTGAGAGGTACATATTTTCATGTGGAGCCTAATTTTTCTTTCGGTTTTTCTCTGGACTTATTTCAGTAACATCTCACCTTTTAATTTACCAGCACACTTCCTATTTCAAAGGCCATTCTAGAAGAGTAATTCACAAACTTGAAAAACTGAGGGTCATAAGGACCTACACACAGTCACACATACACACAACTTTTATAGGAATGCGGTGTTCTAAATCCAAAAATGAATTCAGTTTTCCTCTAAAACATACAATTTTTTCACAACTTACTTTGATATTTCTGTGTTGAAAGATATGAGTGAATGAAATTAATATTTAAATCAGCAGTGAAATTTCATAACTGTGTACAATATGATTATTGCTTCTTAAAAAAACCCAGCACCCCAAAATACATCTAAAACACGACAATATTTTTAAAAGTTATTTAATCACAGTCCTGTATTATAATTTTCTTAGTGATATAACATGCTATATTCACATATATATCTTATTTTGAATGGGGCTGTTGTTATTTCGCCGTTGTTGTCAAGTGCCTTCAAGTTATTTCTAACTTATGGCAACTCTTAGGTGAATCTATCTTGGCAATATATATCTTTGCCTTTTTCAGGCTGTGAGAATCCGATAACATTTGCATAGTGACCTGAACAATTTCTTTAAAAAGGAAAATGAGGGTGCAGTCACTGGGATTCTGGAAACTGGAAATATGAGAGAACCCACGCTGATAGATAACTGAAACAGTGTATTATTAAGATATTAATATTTCTCTATCTGTTAACTATTATCTGAATCTCTATACATTTGTTAAAGAGATGCAGAGAGAGAAAGGTTCAGTCCTTATGAAACTATACGATTCTAATGAGCATATGATGTAATGTAATTAATGTATCATGCCTTACATGAAGTGTATATGATGTGATGAAACTCAGCAGTCAGACATTGCAATATCTGTGTTTCTTCCTAAGGGAACTATTTGTATATTTATAAGTATCTAAAATAAATACCCTAAACAGTAACAAAGTGTTTGCTCATTTCCGATGTAAATATTCTTAGATTCCAATACTTTGGAATGTTTAAGTGGGGTGTTGATGTTAGTTCTGACTGTCTGATTTAACTATCATCATGAATTGGGCACTCAGGAGGCCAGAAGTTGGTAGTGGAACACCAGATAGAATCCAGATTAATTGATAAGTGCCAATCTGCAATTTCTCAGTCTAAAGAGGTGTGGTGAGGAACCACACGTGTTTTACACTGGCCTATGCTAAGGTAGCATCTGGGTAGCCCCTTGTGCATCACCAAAAAGAGAATTCAGCACTCTCAAGGAGGGCACATACTTTCTTCTAAAATGTCCTACACTCCTACCTTAGAGGGAATTCCCCTGGACTGTGCAAAGTGTGCCAGTGGAATGCAAGGTCTGGCAGTTCTACTAAACTGTGTTTGCCATCTGATTAGCAGACTAGCTAAGAACAGTGATCCCAATCATGAGATGGTTCGGTCACAAAAAATACTGTGTGGAACAGTTATTGTTTACAATAGTGAAGGGATTACCTCCAAGATATTGTTATAAAAATCATTTTGTTTATTTATGTACTTATGTTTTATGGGTTTATGTTCTTGTATGAAGTATCGACACTTGTAGCAGTGGTGCAAAGTAGGACCAGGAATGCTGATTTTAGGGGATATCCTTTGTAGACCTTATTCTGTATCTCAGATGCACTACACATCATGTGGATACAGCACATTGGGGCAAATAGGTAATAACCAGCACAAACATGGCTGCCCCCTAATGGTTGCACCCTCATTTTTCTTTTTAAAGAAATGATGGCAACTATATTTCCTCACAATGTCTTGAAATGATATAATTATGGAAGTATTGCAAGGGTAAGTAATATGTTCATGAAGAGAAGCTAGTTATGCCAGTTGTCTTTTCCACACCAATGATTTTACCCTTTACAAAATTAATGGTTTCTGTGGATGGGCGTGACTAAAGAAATCAGTTCATTTGGGATGTAATGCTGGAGAAGGATTCTCCAGATACTCTGGGTTGCCAAAAAGACAGATCAATGGGTTCTCGAGCAAATCAAGGCTCAGCTATCCTTAGAAGCTAAGGTGACTAAGTGCGGAGATTATCATATCTTGGGCACATCATGAGAAACCATGATTAACAAGAAGAGCTTGGTAAGCTAGAAGGCAGTAGGAAAGGACTGCAACACAGATGGATCAACTCAGTCAGGAAAGTCACTGTTCTGAGTCTGCAAGACCAGAGTAGGGTTGTTGGCAATAGCGTGATTTGGAGGTCTCTTATTTATGAGACTGTCATATATCAAAATCAACCCAATAATAAACAACAAATTATATATCTTTTAAACTTGTGTTTTAACTTTCTTATATCATTAGAGTTTTAGCTTTTTCTTGTTTTACTCTTGTTGTGAGCTTCCCTATTACAATATGGATAAAATAAGAAAGAAAGAGAAGCCGCCAGTGGCGCAATGGGTTAAACAGGACTGCTGACCAAAACGTTGGCAGTTCAAATCCAGGGAGCGGGGTGAGGTCCCATCTGTCAGCTCCATCTTCTCATGTGGGGACATGAGAGAAGCATACTACAGGATGGTAAAACTACTGGGCATCCCCTGGGCAATGTCCTTGTAGACAACCAATTCTCTCAAACCAGAAGCAACTCACAGTTTCTCAAGGCGCTTCTGACGCGAAAAAAAGAAAAGAAAGACTTGCCACAGCAATTCCTTATTACTACCCTAGTCACTTAGTTGGACTGATATATAATGAAACTTTTTTGTAATTTTCTTCAGACCTAGATCTAGTTGCTGCTTCCACTTATAGCAGAAACATTGACATTAACAGATGTTATATAGGTGTTAACCTGTGGAGTATTGGATTTATACCCTACTGTTCTACTGCTTTATGACTCAATTTAGTTGTTTTTTTTTTGTCGTGTCAGGAGCATCCTGTTGTGAGAGAATTGGCCATCTGCAAGGACGTTGCCCAGGGGACGCCCTGATGTTTTGATATTTTATCATCCTTGTGGGAGGCTTCTCTCATGTCCCCGCATGAGGAGCTGGAGCTGATAGAGGGAGCTCATCCGCCTCTCCCCGGATTCGAACCTGGGACC